CCTCCCCCCTCCTTTTTTTTTTTTTTTTTTTTTTTTTTTTCGACAACGACGTGTCGCAGCTTTTAACCGACCGATTCTAAGCGACATGCTCGCGATATTTTTTCTACCCCTATCAAGAGTGTACACACGGGTAGCTATGGTGGTTGGTACTTGTGTTTGTATGTGTAGTATTTTTTCTCAGCTAGTCTTTTTTTTCGATCTAGTCTTCTTTTTCGATCTGGTCCGTGGAAGTGAATTCGCTGGCGGAAAGAGGCCGGGAAATTATTTTTCCACGAGACGATACCGCCACACCGATAAATACCGGGTTGCAGGCTCTCTGGCAACATCCGGCAAATTTATGCAATCCCTGCATCTGCCAGAGCCCAGCGATTTCGTACTTCCGTTTTTATTTATTTCCGCGACATCCAACCACCGTCTGGTTATTTTATCGCGATACTCGAATATCCTGACGTCTGTTTAGTGTTTTGCATATAGAGGGCGATGCCTGCAGAGAGGGCAGGGTGTGTTGAGAATTAGCTCAGATCACGTGGACTTGGAAGGGAGGGATAATATTTTTTTTTTCAATTTAAACAAATTCGAAATGGAAAAATTTGCATTTCTTTTTTTTGAATGAATGGAGGTATATAGTACAGTGAAAATCTTGGGGTGGCTCGAGTGGGGGTTGTATCTCCGGCGAGGTCGGGAAATCTGTTCGGTCGAAGGGATGAAGCGCAGACGGCACCTGGCTGGATCTGAGGCCGTTGCCGCCTGGGGTGAAAATATTAAAGGCACCCTCCTCATTAGGGGCCTTCTACACGTTTTTCCCCTAGGAAATTGCTTCTCTTATTGGGATAATCGGAATGCGATAGCCCTTGCGCCACGTGCTTTCGATTAAGACGGGACAAGGGCAGCTCGTCGACTTAGGAAATTACGATATACATACCTGCCACTACAAATACCTCCCTCCTTGCCCCCCCCCTCTTTTTTTAATACCACGTTCACCCCTAATAACTGCCACCCCGGGTACCTTTCTCTTTTGCCCCCCTATGTTTGTTCAAACCACCTTCACCCCTGATTCCTGTTCGGTTTGCTTGTATTACCTACCCCCCAAGGTACGCGTGTCAGACGTGTAAAAAAACATCACCATAAATAACCTGTATACAATTCAAGGGTGTTCATACCTTCGGGTAAAAATTACCAGACGAGACGAAGCGGCTGTTTAAATTTCAGGTCCCACAGGAGGAAATACGTACCCGGCCAAGTTTTGCGCCCCTAGGCAAATGCCCTGTCCTGCCTACCCCCTAAATCCGATGGTACGGAAGATGCCGGCGAGGGTTTAAAGATGGGGGGGAAAGGGGGGGAACACTCGGAATCACCATCCCTCGTGTTTATCCAGTGCGACGAAGGCTCATTGTCGTGGCGTGCCGCCCTAGAAAGATACGATAAAGCGAAACTAAGGGATACCAACCCCTAAAATTTTTTGTCCATGTAAACCAGAAAGTTTCATGATAACAGCCTACGGTCCCCCGGGTATCCGTAGGTGGCCCAGAACGTCCAGGGACGTCTCTAGGAGTACCTGCCCCCCCTGACAAGGGTCCTAACAGGGACTTTAGCTCTCGCGTATATCTTCTCTACGCCACATTCTGGCATCGCCACTGTCTCTATCTTCAGTGCGAGGGTAAACATTGATTTTTTTCTCTCGGCTACTCTTCTCGAGAATCTCACGGCTCATAGCTCGCACGAGCTCAGGCTGAAACCCCGTGGCTAGAGAAAAAGGGGTGAAAGTGTAAGGGATGCTCAAAAAGACCACATCTAATTCGACAAGGGGAAGAGACACAGTGGATACCGTCAGTGCACGGTCAGACGGTACAGTGAGGGGAAGCAGGTGTCGAGGGGATGGGAAACATCCCCCCAAGGAATTTTATCGCAGCCCTTGGTGTAAGGGTTGATTTCTAGAAAATTCACATTTTCTTGGATACTCCGGACCCCCGGGGAACCTTTTCAGAGGCCATTCTTTCGAATGGCTATTCAGCTACGTATTAAATGCTCCCGGGGAATCCCCTTTCTGTGTCAACGTGGGACTCATCATTTTTAGTAGTCTACTCTCTTTACGTGTCAGCCTCCTTTTTTTTTCTTTCTTCCTCTCACTAGAACTTTTTTATATTTTCTCTTTCTTTCTCCTCTACGAAAGATGTCATTATCGAACCTCCCCTGTCATTTTTACGCGCGGAACGTCACTCAATGGCAGCTTATCGAATGGCACAATCAAACACGCTCCAGATCTAGTTTTTGAGAGTATTTTGAAGATAGACACATTTCTTTTTTTAAATATGGTATAACTCAATAATTTTTTTTTTTTTTTTTTTTTTTTTTTTTTTTTTTTTTTTTTTTTTTTTTTTTTTTTTTAGTAATTTTGGACATTTTAGTCTCGTTGACCTATTTTCACTATCGAGTCGGTCTACTGTGCATTACCTTTAGTATGTCGGTATAACGGGTATAGCTGTATGCTGATATCGCATTGCTATTCTCGGCAATGCCGACGATTCAAACACGAAAGTCTGCAAGCCATACGATGCTCGAGGGAAACTCGGCCGTTCTGAATAATAGATCCCTGGCCAGGTCGAGGACTGTCCTTATACCAGGAGGAGACCTACGTAGCGCCAGGTGATTGTAACGTGTATATTTCGATAGAACGTAAAGTGAAAAGCACTTTCATTGGTGGTAAAACACGTGATAAGAAGATTCTGCGAACTGGATGCATCTACAGTACCACCCCCAAAATATTGAAGGGTTGCGGAAATATTAATATATATTTAAAAAATAATAAAATAATTTTGTCAGTTGTTAGCCATTGAATAATCGAATGGACCACAGTGCCCAGACGATTAAAAAGCCACCCCCCCCCCCCC